CTGGTTTCCCTTTCGAATGAGGCTTTCCCAGCTCCAGGCATTTCTCCACCACTACTCTCCTCAAGGGGGTGCCAGTTCTGGTTTGGTCCTGTGGCTCCTAGATCTGGTTCCCACATTCACCCAGCTCCCAGGAGCACAGGTGAGCTGCCTTCTCCTTGGCGTCTCCTCGCAGTGAAGTTGAGCACAGGTGTGCTCGGTGTTCTCAACCCAGAGCCAGGCCCCTTCCGGAGTCTCCCCTGCACACCTTCCTCTCCCTCCTGCTTCTGCGCACTGCAGACTCAACACGCACCTGTATCACTCAGTCCACCTGTCATCACACACGCAGAAACTGGGAATCAGCAGGTCTGGGTGGGAGCCCAGATGCAAGCACCTCAAGTAATTCCAGTGGGTTATCTGGATGCACCTGAGAGACAGCTTATCTGAAAGTAGAATTGTGGAAAGACTGGCCTGGTTTTCAGATGGCTTGAGGGGGTCAGAGATCATCTGAGCCAGGGAGAAGTAAGTAACAGAGTTTTTCGGTAGCTCCTCCTGGTCATTTGTGTTCATTCTTTCCAAATAAGAATCACTGAATTTTCCAGGCCTTTTAGTCTCACCCTCTCTTTTTCCCTCCCCAGACTGAGAAAACTGAGCCCTGAAGGAATGGTCACTGGCTCAAGAAGCAGAAGGCTGGTCTGTTTGGGTTTAAATGGCTCCCGTGGTTCCTATCTAGAATTCTTCTGTGATTACAGACTGGTCCACATCACCACGGTGCTGCATGCACTGACTGGAGTAAAGAGCCCAGGCCACTGGCAGTTGCCTGAGACTCCAGCTGGGCTAAGATGACCGGTTGACTGCACCAGGCCTCACCCAGTCCACCCTTTGTCCAGCCAGAGACAAGTGTGGAGCCAGCTGGCACTCTCTGGAGTCATAAAACCCCCACTCCTGGGCTCTCTGTGTGCCTGGAGCCTAATGACCCCTTAACCCTACTCCTCACTGCAGGACCCTTCGCATACCTGCATTTCTGCAGGATATAAAATGTCTTCTCTTGACGTGTGTTTACCCTAACAAAACTCATCGCCCCAGGAGGTAGCCAGTCTCACAATACTCTAATACCATAGGCGGACAGGCCTCACATCTGCCCTTATGGAAGGCATAAGACCTATTGTTCAGAGAAGTCCCTGACAGACCTTACAACCTGCTAGGTCCCTGTGCACAAATTTATCTTGCAGCCTCTTCTTATGTGCTCACTCAGTCACCTCTCGCCTGTGTGGTCTGCTGTTGCCTACAGCAGTGTACCTATTAAACTTTGCTAAACTTTTCTCGGTCTCTGGTAATTCTTTACCATCCCATGTGTCACCATCACCGTGTGTGCTGACAACAAGCATTGCTCAGAATGTCATTTCAAGCTGTCCTGGAACCATCATGTTTCCCTGGCCCCCAGGCCACAGAGAGAAGCCCCTCAGTGTTCCTCCTAAAGCTGCTGCCTTCCCTGTAGCTTTTATCATGTGGCATTATGGTTATGTAATAATTCGTCCATCTCCCCGGCTAGAAAGAACATTAGTTCTAGGACGTTTCTGTCTTGTGTACATTTGTGTCCTCACTCCTAGCAAAGTGCCAGGCGTGCAGCAGACACTCAGAAAATGTTTATTAGTAACACCAATAACACACTTACTAAGCACTTAGAAACGTCCAGATGTTTCGCAGTCGTTAAATAAATCAGCCCTCACAAAAACCTTTGAAAGCTATGAGTGCACCCATTTCACAGGTGAGGACACTAAGGCTGAGAGATGAAATAATTTATTCAAAATCACACAGCCAGTAAGTGGCATGATGGGATGGACCCAGCTTATGGGGTCCCTGGGGTCCCTATTCCTGCTCTGCTCTTCCCCACACTTAGTGGGGTTGAATCCCACAGCAGAGGGCTGTCTGCAGATGGCTCTCGAGCCTCAGTCCAGCCCTGCTCCACACAGCCCAGCCACCAGTCGGAGAGAGCACCCCGCCTCTGCTCCATCTTGAGGTCCTTGCCAAGTGCCTGGCAGTGGAGACCTTTTAAAATGAGAGAAGCTGCTGGAGTCCCCCTCCCTCCTTCTGGAGGAAACTGACTCACATCATCACAAAGGACACACAGAAACCACAGACATTGAGAACATTGTTGGGAAGGAAGCTGTGGACACTATAAACTCCAGCCTTTCCTCTCCAGGTTTCCTTTCCTGTTCCCCTGGTGGGAGAGGACCACACCCCACCCAGCGCCGGAAGACATCCTCCACAGGCCTTGGAGGACAAAGATGTTGCTTGGGTTATTTCTCGCAACTGTGAGTGGGGAGGCCCATACCAAGGGGCCCAGGGAGGAGGCTCTGAAAACTGAAGCCAAGTCACAGAGGCCCATGGACGGAGGAACCCCTCCCTGCTGGGCGAATGGGAATGGGAGCTTAGCCCCACGCAGATGTCCCTCCTGCCCTCCCCTCCCTGTGTGCTCTGGGAGAGGCCTCTGGGCTTTTGCTGATTCCTCCGGGGGCTGGCCAAGGGCCAACAGCCTTAGTTCTCAGGACAGAAAAAAAAAAAAGGAGAGAGAGATGGGATTCCGGGGAGGTAGGCTTAGAGGGCCAGAGAGACCATGACTCAGGAGAAGCCAGCCCCGGAGCCCCTCAAGGCTGGAGTGAAACTAGACAGCAAGTGGAAACTAGACAGCAAGTGGAAAGCTGGCTCAGCCAGGCCAGGAGGGAGCCCAAGAAGGCAGCAGGCAGTGGGCTGTGCTCCTTGAGAGAAAGGATGGACAGACGGACTCTGCAGCCAGGGTGTGCTGGAACTGCCACCAGACAGGGCCTTGCTCTGAGCCCCTTAGGCCCAGTGGTCAATTCTGGGGAATCCTGGAGGAGCACCCCTGAGACACGGTAGGGTGGTGGGCAGACACGGCCGTGCCCAGGCGAGGTTTGGCCCCGCGCTGGCCTGCTCACTACCGTTCATATGTGCACCGAGGCAGTGCTTATTTTTACCTGGGTAGGTTCAGCTTCTGATCACAGAAATGGAGGGGGCTTTCCATTGGTTTCCATGGAAACATTAGGCAGAGCATCTGCTACCCGAATAAACAAGGTTAGGTTGGTAGGACTCTTTCTGGAATTACTTTGCTGTTTCTACCAAGGAAAACTGTTCCACTTGCGTTTTTACCACCCCTTTCTTATGTGCCAGAGGAGGGAAAGGGTAGTCAGAGGGGCCGGGCTGGAGCACAGGGAAGGAGAGAGGGTTGGCAAAAAGCAAGTATTTAGAGAAGCCCCTTTGTTTCCATTTTTGATCTCAAAGTAGCATCCCGTGATGAGGTCACAGGAGCCTGGGCTCTCATCCCAGCCTGCCCCCACTTGCTGGCTCCCCCAGAACAGCCAGCCTATCTTTTGGGACGTCCCTGGCACGGCTGGCCGAAGAGCAAGCTACCAGTTGCAGGAGGGGTGAGACCTGAGCGTGCTTGGTTTCATTTTTACAGAATAGAGGGAGGGGGCGCTGCAGGGCTTGGTTGTGAAGTCAGAAAGGAAGGCACTGGTGCACATGTGCATGAGAGAAGTGGTTTTATTCCAGGTGTTTTTCATAAAGACGAGGTCCTCAGGGACAGCAAGTGGCACATGCTTTGGTCAAGAAGAGGAAAAGCAAAAACAGAACAGGGCTGAGTCTCAAAGGACCGCAGACAAGTGCCGAGCCCAGTCTGATCACAGGGAAGGAGGGGGCCCTCTCAAAGGCTCTCTGAGCAGCAGTCCTCTTACATTCAATGAGAGATGCCCACGCTCCCTGTCCCTAAAGGTCCATGCTGTCCGCCAGGGTGGACACGCACAACAGAGATGGCGGAGGATGAAACATCACACAGAGGACAGAAGTGTGGCCCTAGGGGCCAAGCGCTCCACACTGGTGAGCCCAGGGGGTGCCCATCGGGGCACAGGAGTACTGCTGAGAGGACACTGGTGAGAACCCTCCAGGGTGGGCGCTGCAGACCACGGCCCCAAGGGCCGCATGGAGGGAGCAGGCCCCTAGCAGTTTAGGCACACCAGGGAGGGGGAGGGGAGTGGCAGCTCCGGTGACAGGTAGCTCCGGTCCAGAGTAGTTCAGACCCTTAGGGGATCAGAGGCCTCTCTCTGTATGAAACTGGAGAAATCCATGGACCCTCTCCCCAGGAAAACGCATATATGCACACACATGCACTACTTGGGGGACAATTTCAGGAGTACCTAGGCTCTCTGGAATCCATAAACTCCCTAGGGGACTCCAGGCTGATTTGCTTTGGATGGGAGACCTCCATGGGGTTCCTGGTACCACCAGTCTTCTGCCTAAGATCACACCGCCTGAGCCAGTGGGGCGGGGAAGAGGAACGTGGGAAACAGCGGAAGTGGTTCTAAGATCAGACCCTGAGGTAGGGGAAGAAGAGGCCCAGGGGCTGTGAGAAGGAAGAGGGAGCTCTGCACAAACAGGGGCCACCGGCCAGCCTCCAGGCCACCGCAGCGGCTAAACCCCAAGGGCTTCCATCCTGCAGCCGGGAGGGGTGAGGATGAGTCCTACCTGGATGGCTTACACTCCGTGACTCAGGGAATGTCGATGTTCCAGAATGGAGGGCCCTGCTCTTACCTTACTGGCCATCTGACCCTGAAACACTGTATTTACAAAGGCAAGGGCTTTGGAGAAGGCAGGAGTCAAAAACTAGGATGGTACCTGTTCTTACGGGGTCCACATGGTGCGCCCGGGGGAGGGGGCCAGGGCACCGGCTGGTTGTTAAGGCCCGAGGGAGAGCTCTAGTCCTGACACTTATCCAAACAGAAGTGGGATCTGTTTAATAACTGTATTCCCGAGGCTGCCCCCAGAGATCCCCTTGTAGCCCCTTGCTGAGTACATGGGGACCAGAGCGCAGGACTGGAGGCACAGGGCCCTGGGACTGGTACGTGTGGGAGGAACTAGGTCCTGGGGAGAAATCCACTCTTTCAGTGCTTTGCTGCTTTTCTGTCTGCAGTTCTTCCTTCTGCAGATCATCCATCCTTTGCCCAGATCCCATCGCTCCAGCTGCCCCTCAACCCCGCCCCAGCACCTGCCTAGGACAGGCCACTGAGCTCCTCACGTCTTCCTGTTCTCTACCCGCCCCCATGGACTGCCCCTTCCTCTACCTTCAGCCTGCCTCCCATCCAATGTTGCCCACACTCTCCTCTCATGCCCAATCCCACGGGCAGCCCCCTGACCCAGCAGGACTGGTGCGAGCCTCTGTCCTCGCTCTCCCCAGCCAACAAGAGGAGGGCCCCAAACCCCTATCTGGGCCCTGGAAGGGCAAAGGGAGGGAACAAAGGGCCAGGGCATCAGTCCAGTCTCTGCTCAGCAGCAGTCCAGCATCCCGACCGGCTCCTCTCCCCGGGCGAGGCGGGGACGGCGGCCAGGGCAGCGGGGCATCCATCCCCCCTGCATCCTCCCCGTACAAGCTTTGGAGAATCGTGTGGTGTGGCAGCGGTGTTTGCTGATGATTCTGGCAGAAATGTGAGGAGATGGAAACGGCCTGCTTTGTACTCCCCCACCCTAACCCCCTTCCGGTCCCAAAGTCTCATGCAAAAAGTACAGGAGGCCTGGGGCTACGGTCATGTGTGTGGCAACAGCTGCCACTGCTGGGCTGGGATGTCGGCCTGGCACTTGCTGGTCACCAGCTGTGTGGGCTTGGCCTCCAGGCAGAGGCCGCTGACTGAATGCTGGATGAAAGAGGCTTTTCTCCTCCATCTCTGCGGGGAGAGGCAGGGAAGGAGAGAAGAGAGAAAATAATAATTAATCATAATAATAATGTCCGCACCCTCACTAGCCGTGTATGTACATGGCCCTAGGGCACACCGCCGTTGAACTAGTCTGTGTGTCCCTCACTTAGGAGGCTCCCCCACCCCACACACAAGCTTTCAGCCCATCCCTCCAGATGCTCTCTTGCCTCTGCAGGTTGGCATGGAGTTACCATCTAGATCAGAGGCCCATAGGCTGACTCTAACCCAGAGATGTATTTTGTTTGGCCTGCACAGTGCTTATTTAAAATTTGGCTTAGTCGTCACATAAAAACCTGCATTTCCAAAGCTTCCCTTTAGATGTGGGCCCAGTTTCTTTGGTGGCATCAGCTGGGACTGAGGATCTGCTCCTGCTGCAGGTGGGGTTCTGATCTCTGTCCCCGGCAGCCCCACCTGGTCCCTACGCTTCTCTAGGGCTTCCTTCTTGTCCCTCTAGGCACTTGAGTGTGAGTCCTGGACTAGGTGAATCTTTTACTCCTTCAAACAAGGTTTCTTTTTCCTGCCACACTAAGCTCTGTCCTGGCCTGTAGCCATGCAGCCGGTTACGTACACCCTGTAGTGGGGACTGGCTGCCACCCCTGCAGAGATGAAGAGTGATGCCAGTGAGGTGGTGGGGGCACTCGAGTCCCCTATCAGAGTCATGAACAGGCACCCAGGTCAGTGCCTTCACCTTCTGGTGTCTCCCCTGCCTCAGGCTTGACAAGGGGGACAACAGTTGCTCCTGTAGAACGTTTTGACAGTGGCCATCTGGAGGATGGAGTGTGGTTTGGACACTCAGAAAGGATGAGAGGCTCAGGGCAGAGTAAACAGTGAGCCATGTCTATTTTTGACTTCTCTCCTATTTTCCTCCCAGGCTTCCCTCTCCTCGCTTCCTATATCCACCTTGTCCGCTGTCCTCCATAGGATATATGGAGTCCTCATGACCACGTGGATGGAGCCCACAGGGCTCTGAGGGGGAAAGGCCACATTCTTACGGGAGCAAACTAGGAGAAGGGAGATTCACAGCACCCACCGGCTGCAGGGCCAGGGCTGGGGCTTCAGGGAACGTGAGGTGGGCAGAGAAGGGAACCAACTGGGATGTGCACACAGGGTGGAAGGCAGGGACTGCGAGCCTAGATTCCCCTTGGGAATGCGGGGCTCTGGAGTGAAGGGCTGAGAACCAGTCTCTCTGGCCCATGTGGTCACAGCAGAGAGGAGTCCCCGGCCTAAAGGTCCTGGGCAGTGGGTGGGATGGGGCCTTTGGTCCCTCGGAAACTCACAGCATCCTATTGCCTTGTGCTCTTCCAGTCTCTGACCTCCTGGGGGAGGCCGGCCACTCTCTCCCTGGGTGGGCACTGATGGACCAGGCCCTTTGTTCATCCTTGTGGCCAGCAATGACCTGCACTTTCCCTGATACGAGGCAGGCACCCCATGCAGTTTTATTTTATGAAGAATGAATGCTTGAGGGAATGAATGAATCCCTCAGTCATGAGGAAGTGCTCCCCAATCACAGGATTCTCACTCCCCACCTGTGCAGTCAGGCACAGTCTCTGGGTCTCCCCGACCCTTCTAGCCACTCAGCCCTGGCCCGGCCAGAGAAACGACTTCACCTCACAGCACTCACTCTCCCATCGCCACGGCCTTGGTTCTTGCAGATTCCTTACTAGGCAGACCGGAGAGGGAGCCCCTTGTTTCATATGTGAGGAAACTGAGGCTCAGAGAGGTCAGGGGGCGACAGAGCTGGGACCTGCTGACCCCATCCCAGAGGCTCTTGTGCCCATCTATGTCTCCTATAACTGATACCCAAGTGCCTCAGAAATGGGGCCAAAGAGGGGCCAGGAAGGGAGGCTCAGATTCAAGAAGGAACCTGCAGCGTAGATTTCATCCTGTCCCCCTGGAGGAGAGCGCACAGCTGTTGGGGGACTGGCAGGACTTGCAGGAGCAGAAGGAATGGGGCCAAGGGAGATTCCAAGGAGCCCCATAGTCTGGGTCAGCATGAAGGGAAAAATGGGTGCTTCCGCTCCAGAGAAGCATTTGAGTGGTGGCTGCCCTGGGAACTGCTTCTCTAACTTTGGCCTCAGCCAGGAGTGGGTGGGAGTGAGCTCAAGACTTGACCCTCAGAAAGACGGGCGCTCCAGGTGAGGGGGAGCCTGGGGAACTGCCTCACTGTAGGGCAATGCGGGCAGTGGGCAGGGGGCAGCAGCTCAGCCAGGAAGTGTCTCAGGTGTGTCCAGGAGGCCCCGCAAGCAAACCATGGCACACAGATCGCTCTCTCTCTCTCTCTCTCTCTCTCTCTCTCTCTCACACACACACACACACACACACACACACACACACGCTGGAGGGAGAGGAGGGATCTAGCTGCTGTTCCAGAATAAAATAGCAAACTGCCAATCAACCCTAAAGAAAGAGCTGACCCAGGCAAACAGAAAAGAGGCGGGAGGAAAACCCTAGCAGCCGAATTAGAGAGCCAGGCACCCTCCTGCCCCTCGCATTGCCCTGCAGGTTGGCCAGGGGCAGTCACAGGGGGCCACCAGGAGGGGGCGGGCAGAGGAAGGGCTAGAACAGACCCCATGCCTTGGTGTCCATTCCCGGACAGAGGGGCAGCCCTCCCAGCCAGGAACGGAGCGGGCTGTGTCACCAGCTGCTGTGTGCCCTAAATAAGTGACTTCATCTCTCCGAACATCCATTTCTTCCTGGACAGGTGGGCCTGATCTGTCTCCCCAAATTAATGAAAACAGGGCAGGTAAGAATGTTTGACAAATGGAAAAGTCAGTACTCAGGCAGGCCTGGCGTGCCAGCTTGGAAATCACTGTGTCTGGATCTCAGGGTCCCCAGTCAGCAAGCAGTCAAGAAATACTGAGCACCTACTATGTGCTGGGATACCTACTATGTGCTGGGGTGAGACTGTGGGCTTAGGAGTCACATTGACCTGGGTTTGAACCCCAGCTCCACTCCTTCCCAGCTGTGTGATCTGATGTATTAAATTCAGCGAGCCTCGGTTTTCTTGCCTCTAAAATGGGGTTCATACTAGGGCCCAAGTTGCTGGGTTGCTGGGAGAGTTAGATGAGATTGTCTATGTAAAACTCCCAGCACAGGCTCTCGGTAAACACTAATATTTATTTTGGCTGTGCTGGTTGTCAGGGGCCAGGGAAACAATGTCGACAAGACAAATAACCCCTGCCCTCATGGAGCTCACAGGTTGCACGATGGACATTTAACAACTATTTACCTGAAGAAGTACTTACTCATGAATAAAACAATAGACTTGACCTGGACACGGGCATCAGCCCCCACAGACCCTCACTCTAGAAGGCTTGTTTGAGTCTATGTGTCACGTCTCCACTGTGTGTTCTCCAGGGCTGCTGGCCATCCTGTGCCCAGGGGCGAGGAGGCTTACCTGCCTGCCTTCTCTTGGGTTGCACATCTGCAGTACGACCAGGGTTCCAGGGGAGACAGAGGTGGAAGTGGTAGCCAGGCATTTCCGCTGCTGCTGGATGAGATGGTCACTGAATAGCCACGCCTGCCAGACAGAGAGCAGAAAGGCCGGGTCAAAAAGTATAGTGATGGATGGATAGATGGGTAGATAGTTAATAAAGCAAATACACTGTGTATCTTGGTAGAATTTTTTTTTTACAAATAAGGATGGATTTATGGGTAGTCATTGTACAATTCTTTCAACTTTTCTATGTGTTTGAAATTTTTCATAATAGAGTATTGGGGTGGGGAGCTCAGCTGGAGCTGGCCAGAGGGCAATCGAGGATGGATGAAAGGATGCTTGGGATGGGGAGAAAGACAGGACGTGGGAGCAGGGCAGCCAGGGAGCCAGTCCACACCGTGGTCTCCGTGACCTGCTCTAGTTTGACAGTGGTGCATCAACACGTGGTACACATGGGAGTCCCAGGCGCCCTGTGGCTGGCCTGTCATACAGGCTGACCACAGCTGCAGCGCAGGAGAGAACTGGGTACTGTTTGGGCAGCATTCCTCCCTCTGCAAGGAGAAAGCCAGTGGTGCTCAGAGGGCAACTGTGTGACAGGCTAAAATGGGGACAGAATGTGGCAGGAGCAGAATGCTAGGGGACAGCTCGCAGGGTCCTTGGGAAAGGGGGTTAGTGGAGAGTGAAAACAGAAAGAAGATGAGAATGGGCAGAAGAAAGCCCCTCACCCCACTCCCAGGCCTATCCCGGAGGTCCCAAGCAGCTTACCTGGGCCACTGGGGGGTTCTTGGCAGACCCTCTGCAGACCCCCATTCCGAGCAGGAAGTTGCCAGCCGTGTCCTGGCCTTGGAATTCTAGGCAGTTAGTCCCCTGCTTAATGATGCCTGGCACTTCCTTCACAGGGACACTGAGAGAAAAGGCAGTGATCAGGCTTGTCCTCTGCCCTCTGCGGGCTTACCCAGAGGGCAACACCCAGTCAGCTCCCGGGGCACCCAGGACTCCGTGGGGTGGGGCCCTGGGAGGCAGGCCCAGCAGCAGAGGGTGGGTTCTGAGCACCTCTGGGAACCTCAGGGACTGCCCTGGAGGCCAGGCCTCGGAGGACCTGGTGAGGAGAGAGCTCATACCAGAAACCAGGGCTCCCCAGCCCAGAAAGAGGATATCCCGGGTAGAGGCTGGGCCTAAATGTGGGCTCAATAAGCAATCTCCAAATGACAGGGAAGGGGTCGCTTTGACAAACTTAATACACACAAATATGAAACTGTATTCAATCTCACTAATGATTAAAGAAATACATATTAGGGAGTTACCACTGTTTACCATATGTATATATATGTGTGTGTTTATGTATATTTGTATATATAAGATAATAAATATTTATATATTTAAATGCATGTGTCTATGTGTGTGTATGTATGTGTGTGTGTATATATATATATATATTTTTTTTTAAATATCAATACCTGTGTTGGCAACAGCTGTGGGATTGGATCATTTCATACTGCACACATAAAAGCACAATTTGGCCCATCTTTTCTAGAGGACACTGTGGTATTATGCATCAAAGACCTTAAAAATGTACACACCTTTGACCTAACAATCCCACTTCCGAGAACTTAATATCCTAGGGCAATAATTATGGATGTGTATAGAGATTTGTTTTAAAGGCTGTTAATTCAGAGTGACTGATTATGCTGAAAACACTGGAAATTCCTAGATATCTAACAAGAGGGTATGGGCTAAGTAAATTCTGATTCATCTGTAGGATGGAAAACTCTTTAGCCATTAAAAATGACTCTGAGACAGAATACCTGGTAATGTGGAAAAGTGTTCATAATATACTATTGAGTAAAACAGGCACATTTCAAAATAGTATATTATTGAAACATTTTATACACACAGACAAACATGCTTAAACACACACACACACACTGACATAAGACGCACTGTCTTACCACATGGGTAATAAACCTAAGGAGGCTGCTAGTCCCAGCTGATGAGGGCTTATACTCCTGGGTTTAGAATGCTATATACGAGCTTGGATTATGGATGCACAGAGGGGTGATGGGGAACCAGGAGAGCTTAGAGTCTGACCCCGTGCCTAATTCTATCTGCCTCTCCGTTATCTTTGTCAGGAAGAGAACTTGGGCAGGGGGCGCAGATCAGACAGGGTGTCCCCCTCTGGGTGGGGCTTGTGCATTTCAACAAGCCGCAGTCCCCTCCACTCCCTATTGTCATCCCCATCCACTTGACTTATTTCCATTACCATTCTAATCACTGTGGGTTTTAAGTTTGAAACCTCTGCTAGGTGCAAGGCTGTTGAGAGGCAAGAGCTCCATCCTTCTGCTTCAACCAGGGGCAATGAGTTATATTTCCTCTCTACAGAGAGTAAGGTCCTACTGGGGCTTCTCTGAGAGGCCAAGGTTGTGCCAGACCTTTCTCTTCTCTTCCTCTCCCTACCCCTTGCTGCTTAGGCAGATGTGCAAGTTGAACAGTTTTCAGAGGTGAGGCAGGCACTATCCAAATGTGGCAATGGCCACTGGCACCACAGGCCTGCCCACTGAGGCTTATGGAAGAAACCCAGGGCTTGGGCAGCAATCTCAAGACCAGATGAAGCTCCTGAGGTGTCTGAGTGGTAGCAGCCCTGGAGCAGCTGGGATGACTCTCACCTGCTTCCTCTGCTTCCGGGCAGAGCCAGGCTAAGCCGTCCTGTTTGTTGGTCACCCTCTTAAGTCTGCATCTGCTTCCCTCTCTATGGATCACCTCCAAGCTGGGCTGCCATTAGCCCTCATGATGTCTTTGTAGAAGACATCTTTGCTATAGGAGCCCCTTTCTCAAGATACTTCCATCTGTTATAAAATCATCAGAAAATCTGGTTTTGTTAGAAGACTTTCACTGCCATCTTCCAGGAACTGTTGTAATAAATGTGCCATATCTACTGCATGACCAACACCCTTGCAAATGTGATGTGCTTGTACAATGCACAGCCTGCACAACTGTTCCTGACCAGCCTAATAAAAGCAATATATTAGCAATTGCTGAGCCAGCTGCAGAACTCGGATCTGGAAAAGGGGCAGAGTTGTAGCAGCACTGCAGGCCAGCCTAGGAAAGCAAAGGCCTCTCCCTTCAGCCTCCTTGGCCTCCCCATTGCCCATGTGCAAGTGCATCCCAACTACTAGGATCCCCTGTTTGGAGGAAAGTTGGTATCATTTGGACCCATAGATCTCCTTTTGAACCAACAGCCTGATCCCTTCCTGGCCCCTCAGCCTGAGAACTGAGGCCAAACATGAATGAACAGACTGAGGATGAGTAATCTGGATCGGAATGAGCTGCATTTTCTACCTAAACAACAAAAAATCATTTTTAAACTCCCACACGGTGACAGAACAAACAGAAGATGACTTATGCTTCTTATTGAACAAGGCTGGTTTCATCCACTCTCCTGTCTTGTGATCGATCCAGGCTCGTGATAGGCATAAACTACTTCTTTCTCTCAGTCCTCTGGGGATGACATGGGACAGCATGGAGGGACAGGGTGTGAGGAGGAGGGGCACAGCTGGGTCCTCCCCAACACTTCCCCTGGGCTCCCCAGCTCCTGCCTGAGGCCTAGAGTCCATGGCTCCAACCGGATGTTGCAGGAACTCTGACAGAATGGAAAGAACTGACCATGATTTTTTCCTCAGAAATGACACATCTGAATGAAACTGTCCCCTTAAAAGTGGCCACTTGAGGAAGCTGTTCATTTATTATACTTTTATAAATTAATGTTCTTCCCTTCACAGCTATCATCTGGGGAGCTGGGGTTATCCAGCCTGCCAACTTTTTTCAAGGATGTTGCCGTTGCTTCAACTGTTTTGGAATTCCTTGAACGTAGCTCCCAGAGTCACTTTATTCTTGTTCCTTATTTCAGTCTTGTCACCCTGTATTGAGAACCCAGGACTGTACCATCTGGGGGAATCAACTAGCTTATTCCCTGGACTTGGCTGCAACTTAACCACAGCTGTATTCCAAAAATCAAATCTGCCCTCAAAGGACAGAGATGTGCCTCCTTTGAGGATATGCAGGCTCTGAAGGGTGGTGTGTTCTAGAAAGCCATGGCAGAATCCTTGGGAGACAGCAGTGGAATAACCCATTCCCCAAGGTGACAGATCTACAAGAGAGAATGCTAATTTCAAAGTTATTACTGAGGTTTATTCACTGTGCAATTTATTCAGTTAAAAATATTTATCAAGTGGTGGGTATAGCTCAGTGGTGGAGCGATGCTTAACATACATGAGGTCCTGGGTTCAATCCCTAGTACCTCCATTAAAAAAAAAAATTTAAAAAGGGAAGATGGCCAAGTAGTAGGACCATGAGCTCGCCTCTCCACGACCACAGCAAAACCACAGCTGACTGCTAAACAACCATCGGAAAAAAGAGACTGGAACTTAGCAAAAAAGATCTTCAACAGGAAACATACAGAGGGAACCACAGTAGGATGGTAAGAGAGGCTTGCGATATATTTGGGCCCCATACCCTGCCCCCACCAGTTGGGCCACCCACAAATTGAAGAATAACTAAGTTGCAGAGACCCTCCCACAAGAGTGAGAGTTCTGAGCCCCATATCAGGCTCCCCAGCCCAAGGTTCTGGCACTGGGAGGAGGAGACCCCAGGACATCTGGTTTTGAAGGCCAGTGGAGCTTAACTCCAGGAATCCCACAGAACTGGGAGGAGAAGAGACTTCATTCTCTTGAGAAGCATACACAGAATCTCGTGTGTGCCAGGTCCAAGGGCAGAGGCAGTGATTTCATAGGAACCTGGGCCAGACCTTTCTGCTTGTTTTGGAAGTTCTCCTGGAGAGATAGAGGATTGCTGCGGCTCAGCCAGGGAACATAAAAGCTGGTGATGGACATTCTGGGAGTGTCCATCTACATGAGATTTCCTGGAGGTTGACATATTGATTGGATCATTAGCACCAAGACCTAGCCCCACCCAACAGCCTGTAGGCTTAAGGGCTGGGAAGCCTCAGGCCAAACAATATACTGGGTGGGAACACAGCCCCAGCCATCAGCAGACTTCCTGAGCCCCAAACGCCTCTAGACACAGCCCTACTCACCAGAGGTCCAGGACCAAGCTTCACCCAGCAGTGGGCAGGCACCAGCTCCTCCTGCCAGGAAACCTGCATAAGCCTCTAGTCCAGCCTCATCCACTAGGGGGCAGATACCAGAATTAAGAAAACCACAATCCCAAAGCCTGTGGAAGGAATCCACAAACACAGGCCAGACTCTACACCGGGACTGGCTGGACCCTGGCCCTTGGGTGACAAGAGAGGAATGTACTG